CCCGGCCTCATCCACCCAGCACGTGGTCACCTGTCGGGAGAAGACACCCACACCCATAGCACAGGTGGTCAGGCGGGCCGTCCCCCTGACCTGCAGCTCTTTTCCCCACAAGGAGCTCAGACGCAAACCGAGCTAGGCATTCGCCTTGGCTAGCTCTCTGGACCCCAATAAGCCGCCCAATGGCCAGGTAAGCTTACCTGCCCCACCTGAAGTGATTCCGAACAGGAAGCACAATTACCATGCCCGCTCTCCCATCAAATTCCATCTTTGATTTGAAGGGCAGTTACCCGATGTCTGTGAGAGCTCCCCCCCCCCCCCCCCCCCCCCCACCGGGCCCGCCCCCGAGCACATGCCAGCCTCGGCCCCAGCCTGGCCTCTGAGGACCGAGTGCCGTCTCTTCTGTGCAGAGACAGCCAGGCCTCCACCTCCCTGGGCATGCAAGGGGCACGCACGGACTGTGAGAGCACGCTACCTAGTTGGTGGCCGCGAGCAGGTGCGGCAGGCGGGAACCCAGAAGAGAGCTCCTGTCCAGAGGAGGGGTCCTCACGCAGTCAGAAGGAGGAGAAGCAGAGAAAAGGTCAACCAGACACCAGAGGGAGAGCCAGAAGATGACGTGGCAGGAAGGTTGAGGAGCAGAGGGAAGTGGGGAGCTATTCAGTTTACCCCCCTTCTACTGGCTGTCAACCACTGGGACGACAGCACCCAGCGATTCCCGGTTCAGCCCGCCGAGAGCGGGGAGGGCAGAGCTTGCGCCGAGGCAATCGGGGCTGTTGGCGGGGAGGATTCAGGGCGTCGGTGCTGTCCCTGACTCCGGCTCTGCAGCTGCAAACAACTTGGGTTTTTGTTCTGGCCTGACGCGCTGCGCCTGTTTAATGGGGAGGGCTCTACCTGGTGAGACTCCAGGTTCCAAGACCACAAGGAAGAGATGCTCCAGAGCCGAATTCTTTCTGGAGCCTCAGCACGCTTCCCTGGTGAGACTTTCAGTCTCCCGGAAAAAGCAGGTAGCCCGGTTTACCCCACTCGACATGAGAAATCCGGGTGGTTACTAGTCTCAGATGTGAACCTCACTTTGGTCTCTGACCCCATGGGTGTGAAATCATGGGTCTCTGGGGGTTGGAAGGAGAGAAGACAGGGCTCTCCTGACCAAGCCCCAGGGCTCTCCGAAGCAGCTGTGTCAAACTGTGTCAAACCCACACCTCCCACATGCTTTCCTGGCTGGACATTCGCCCTGCTGTGCCACCCCTCCCCAGCACATGATTCCCTTCTGACGGGAGTCATCACGCAATGACATGTCCTACTTCTCGAGGAGTAGAGATGGGTCTCTTTCCTCTGGATCCTGCCAGTTCCCACCCTCCAGCAGGGGGCTGGCTTGTGGGCAGCGGGGCGTGTTTCTAGGCAGTGAAACTGTAAGGAGGCACCTTGGGCTTGAAACTGCACAAGGGTACGGAGAGCAGGGGCCCAGGCTGGCCTCCTGGAGTGGAGGACACAGGGTTATTGTACAGGAGAGAGAGACACAGGCAGGTCTTGTGGGTGTGACCTGGGGCTGGTAGGAGCGGACAGCAAGTGAATTAATTTGCTCGTGAGCGCCCCGTGTGTGCAGAGCTCTGCTCCGGCACCAGTCACAGGAAAACAGACCTGCTCTTTGCACTTGCAGAGCTCACGGTCAAGCTAGAGGACAAAACATGCCCACAGGGAAACAAGGAGAAAGCAAAGGCACGGGAACCGCTTGCGACAGGAAAAGGCAGATCCTGGGAGAAGACAGGGCAGTTGATGGCGAGCCGGAGGGGGACACCAGCCTGGCATTGTGAAACTGGGCCATGATATTGAGGGAGGTCCCCCAGTGGGGTGAAGTCCTTTGAGCCCCGACAGGGCTGGGGTAGGAAGAGGTTAAGGCATTCAGCAGCAGGCTGGGCAGAAACAGTGCCCGGCTCATTATTAGCCATCCAAGAGTTTCACTTGGTGGCCGTAACAGGACAAGCCTCCCATCTGTCTCCGTTCCCTTCCCCTCCCTTCCCTGGGGAAGGGCCACTCGATAGCCACAATTGGAACCCTTTGTGGGCCACTGAGCACAGCCCTCAGAGTTGGGTTTTAAAGAGGCAATGTGCTTCTCGGGGGAAAGGGAAGGAGGAGAGGGGCTGATGGGCACAGCGAGCTGGGGCTATGGAGGGGTGTGTGTGCGTGTGTGTGTGTGTGTGTGTGTGTGTCAGTCACTTGGGGCGCTGATGGAATGCCTGTGGCTGGCAGAGCTCCGAGCTGGAGTGTGGATGTGTCTGTGCACAGGTCTGGAGGAGAGGGTAAGACAGGCTGTTTGACTGTGTGGGTGTGTGCACGAATGTGTACAGTAGGACTTTCTGTTGTTGGTTAAACAACCTGTTTCTATTTCCCCCAGCTAGAACCTGGCTCCCTGGAGCCAGAGTTTTATTAATTGCTCATTCTGTTCACACCTCTGGCAGACAGGACCCTAGGAGGCTAGGAACTAATTATGTGCCAAAGAAGCCCCTCCTGGTTCTGTCCTCTGGAGCGACACCTGGGCGTGAGGCCCACCTCTCTTCCACAGTCAGGTGAGCAGAGTCTGAAGGACAGGAGGGGGCAGGCTCTGAGGTCCTACAGGCTCAGATACTGACCTGGTGTTAGCGGCAGTTTCTATCACCTAACACCACGGCTTTAGGTTTTCAGGGTCGTGGACGGCAATTCTCAACTAGGGGACAGATGGCTTCGTGCCAGGGCAAGGCATGGCTGGTACCCTGATTTTATATTTGGAAGTGAGAGGAGCCTATGATCTTTGCGTCACCAAGTACAAAAAGGGCACGGGGTTTTTATTGTTTTCAGTGGGTCATGAATTTTTAAATGTGGAAAAACACTGGCCTGTGATGAGCCAGCTGCAAATGCGTCTTTGATGGGTGGATTCCCCAGGGGTTCTCAGGGAGTGACACTGAGCAGGCCCATGCGAGGCCCGTCTTCCCGCGCTCTTGTTCTCCCAAACTGCTCTCTACTGGGAGGTTCGCGTTTCTTGATTTGCCATCAAACCCAACTCCCGATTTTCTCTAGAGGCTGAAATTTGAGTCGGTGTGACTGGGGGTCCAGTCCTCCGGGCTTGGTGTAGGGAGGATTCCTTTCCAGAAAGGATATCAGAACCCCACCAGCCACGGCCCCGCCTCTGCTGCGAGGAATTTCCACAGCGACCGATGCTAGGCCGCTGGGCAGAGGGTTCATTCCCCCCCCCCCCCCCCAGGAACAACTGTGGGACCACCATCCCCATCTCCACGGGCCCCACCTGACTCCCGAGGTAAGAGGAGGCGGCCTCTCGGGCCTCTCCTCAGCCTTACAACAGCCTGTAGCAAGTCCAGGGGTCACTGCCTACTCTTTCCTTCCGCCACCACTGGGGGGGGCTCCTCGGGGAGGTGGCTCGTGATCCTTCTCCAGTCCCGCGTGCTCTACAAGAGCAGGCCCCCCTCCCCCACCTGGCCTGGGAGAGAAATGCCAACTGACCTTAAAGGTGTGTTTTCGGCTGATGTTGTCCGAAGGCTGCACTGCCGCCACCCGGAAGCTCAGGAGCGGGATGCTACCCAGGATGCTCTCCTCCTTCTCATCTGTCGGGTGAACAGAGGCCCGGGTGAGACGCACGTGCCCGTGGCCCGCGCAGAGGGGGAGAGAGAGGAGGGTATCCGCCCTCTTACGACAGATACCGATAAATACTCGTGGCTCATCTACGGCCTGTCAGGACTCGGGGCCGCCACCCACCAAGCACCCAGGGTGTGCTCTGTACAACGCGAGGCACGCTCCCGGGAGGTAGGGAACCCGGCGGCCTTGCAGACACGGTTCTAGATACCGGGACTAGAGAGGCGAACGAGAGAGAAGTGGTACGCACCCTCCAGGAGCTTACCTTAGGGTAAACAGATAAGTGACGACTGACATTATGGAGGGTTTGCTATACGCCGGGTACTGTTCAAAGTTAATGGCCTTAAAGGATTTCACCGTACCAACAATCCCACGAAAAGGTCCTGCTGTTACCCCATTTTCTGGGGAAGGAGGCTGAGATGCAGCGGAGAGGTTAAGTAATTGGTCCCAGGTTACTTAAGTAGAGAGTGGTGGATTGGTCTTTGGACCCAAGAAGTCTGACTCCCAAGCAGGCATTCTTTTTTTTTTTTTTATGTTTACTTATTTTTGAGAGAGAGACAGAGCGTGAGCGAGGGAGGGGCAGAGAGAGAGGGAGACACAGAATCTGAAACGGGCTCCAGGCTCCGAGCGGTCGGCACAGAGCCCGACGCGGGGCTCGAACTCACGAACCGTGAGATCATGACCTGAGCCGGAGTCGGACGCTTAACCAATTGAGCCACCCAGGTGCCCCCCGAGCAGGCATTCTTAACCACTCTCCTGTCTATAGAGACTCTGCAAGCAAGACAATTCCAATAGGGAAACACATAACAGGATGATAATGGGATCGGGCAGGGCAGAGAGGATAGTCCCCTCTTCGGCTCTGGCTCCTCTGGGTAACTGTTTCCAAGGTTTTCCCAGGCACCCAGCAGCTTGCTCTGTCCTCTCCTGACAGGGGTCTGCCTTCCCCTCTATGGCCCCCATGTCTCCACAGGAAGACATGCCCCTGCGTAACCTCTTGGCCCTCTGTTCCCCGGATCAGGCTAACAGCCAGGCTGTTACATAATTCACCCCGAATCTCCAAAGGAGCCTGATGGATTAGCTAGTCAGGCCCCCCCCCCCCGCCAGGTGTCAGCAGGAGCCACGGAAGGTGGGGGTGCTCTGTGGAATAGGTGGGGGGGGGCAACTATGAGGCCCTGGCAAGCCTCTCCCCACTTTCCTGGGATAGCTCTTGAGTCCTGGGGCTAGAGACCCTGCAAAACCCTCAGGGTTCAGAAGGGGTCTCTGGGATTATACGCTCATGGGTTTCCCTTTTCTTCTTCCTCATCACTTAGATAAGATACTTGGCTTGAGGCCCAGCTTCCTATGCAGACTCAGCATGGTACCCAGAGGAAGGGCTGAGCCAAAGGATCAGGAGGAACCCAGGGCCGGGGACCCAGGGCTTCTTCAGGGAAACAGAGGCTGCCATCTTCTGGGGGTGATGGCCTTCTGCCTGGTAGTCTCCAGGCCAGTGTTTACGGGGTCTCTTGAGCGCATCTCTCAGTGGATGGTGGCCCCCATCACAGTGCCTCTTGAGTTCACAGCTCTTACGTTTCTACCCTCACGCCAGTCCCAGAGTCTCTTGTCTGCAGAGGGCCTGGCTTTCCTTCATATTCGTTCATACTCTGGCTCCAGTCGGCCCTGGGTCCCAGAGGCTCAGCACCAGGGACCAAGCCCTGGCGGATTCTTCTCCCCCCGTCTTGGGGTTTTCTCTGTGACTGGATCCTGTATATGCAGCCCCTTCCTGATTTCTCTCCTCGGGTTCAGGTGGCAGCAACGCAGGGCACAGGGACAGCAGCATTCTGGAGGGTCACTGGGTACAACCTTTGTTTGTGCAAGTTAATGATTCACTGAATTGCCCCCAGGAGGCCCAGAGGAGGCAGGGCTCTGCCATTCCCGGGACATGGAGGAAAAGAAACAGCCTCTCCTGCTGCAAAATCACTTTGCCCTTGTCTTCTTGTGGCCCCGCGTCAGCGTGACGGGGCCGTCGCTGTCATCAGCCCTCACTAGCTCCCAAGGTGCCTTCCTTGACACAACGTTGCTGTACGTATTTTAAAAATAACTTCCTGGAGGCTGCCTCACCAAAGTTATTAGGTCTCTCTCTCTCTCTCTTTCCGTTTTTGAGAGGCTAGAGAGTGAGTGTAGGGGTGCACGGAGAGGACAGAAGCTGGGGGATGTTCGTTTACTCAACGCTGGGCGCCTACAATGTGCCATGCACCGTTTTAGGCGCTGTGGCGACAGCGGTGAACAACACTGCGATTTCTGCCCCCACAGACTGGATCGGACACTCCAGGGCGACGGGAGGAAGCTCCACACACAAGCCCCGATCGGTAGATCACCTTACCTAGTAGTGAGTAGGGACCTTCCTCTTCTCCTTCCCGTTCCTACCCCATCCCCCACCCCAGGACTTCACCGCGTGTCACATGACTTTCCTGTTCACCCACTGTGTCCTCCATCCGGACCTAGAACTCTGCCTGAAACCTCGAGGGTGCCCGGGAAATATTGTGGAATGTGACGTGATCGAGCGCGTGAGCAAGCGGGCTCTGTCTTCACCCCACCGTCAGGACCCACAGGTGCCGGCAGCTATGGGGCATATTTGCATATCCCCCCTCCCACCGCCACCGCCCGGCCACCGTTGGTCCACTGACCAACGTCCACCCGAAGCAGAGCCTGATGATTTGGCAGAACAAGCAAGAGTGGGCCCTGCCTTCCTGTGGCCCCTGCCAGCCCCAGTGGAAGCGAAGCTCACCTTTATAGTAGAAGAGACAGCGATCCACCAGGACGAACCAGCGCTTGTTCCACTGCTTGACCCCGGAGCTGGCCTGTGGGACACGTGGAGACAGACGGGAGGGACCGTGAGCTGGGCACGGGAGGGGGGATGCAGGGGAAGGTGTGCGGCACGAATTATATAAGGACATCCTGCCTCTGGTTACGGTTTTGCCAGTAACCAGTGGCAGCCAACCCCCTTAAGACCTCGGACGCAGGAAACGGACCCTGGACTATTGCCCGTGACCTTCCAGTTCTGTCTTTCTGCGCCTCAGCATCTCTCCCAGGGAAGATAAAAGGGGTGAGAGATGAGCCAGGATAAGTGGGCAGAGGGCAGTCAGGCAGAGTGGCAAGGTCAAACTGGGAAGAATTAGCGGACCCCTAGACTAAGGACAGTCCCCTTAGTGCAGCAAGAGGGACCTGCTGAGAATGAGCCAGACGGTGCTCTCATGGGGTTGGTGACCCAGCGTACTTCAAAGTCACTGCATCTGCCCATCGGGAGACCTGGCTGGATTCCCATATTTGACATTAATTTTTCTGTGTGATTTTGGGAAGATACTCAACTTCTCTGAGTCTTTATAAAATTAGGAGATTCACAGAGATATACCAAGAATAGGATACGGAAGCACATACCAAAACACGCAGGGACTCAGAAATACAGAGGAATCGGAGCGGCGGTCATGGTGGGGGGACCGGCAGAGGAGGCCTCACCTGCTTGAAGAGCCAGCCCGCCTTGGTGACAGGTGCACTGAGATTCCGCTTCATGGAGTGTGAGCGCTTCCCAAAAGCGATGGCTTTGCGGGATGTTCGGGTTGCCTGGGGAGACCGAGAGAGAAGCAGGCCTGACTTTCTTCCTGTCCTCCTCTTTGCTCTATCTGCAACGGAAGCTGCCCTCGGTGGGAGCTGTATCTCTCTCCATGCCTGGGGGACTCGTCACGCCAAGAGGACCAGGTGGGACTCTTGGATCTGTCCTCACTCAAGGGCACAGCTGTCCAATTCTTCGGTGCTTTTCTCTTATCTCTAAAACGGGGCTCAAAATCAGTCCGACCCGTCTCACAATGGTGTGGGTTTTGTTGTGGTGGTTGTTGTGAAGAGAAAGTAAGATTTTTCATTTCGCCCCCGGGCTTTCTTCTACTGTCCCGACTCCCCAACTCTTTTGTAAAGCTTTCTGGCACCCATCCAAATACAAGTACACTCCTGATGTCATCATCCTGTCAGAGTCCTGCTCCCTCTCGAATGGCCGACGTAGCACAGAGCAGGGAGGATACACAAGTGTTCTCCTAGCTCCTTGTTGCCACATGGACACTGTCACCCTTCCGCATGCTGGCAATAATCACTCTGGAAGCACCCCTGATCTTCCATTGTTTAGCCCTTTTCATCACTGTCAGCTTCTAGATCAACTCCTTCAGAATCTTAAGATTCTGGTACCAATCATCCCCTTCATTCAAAGTCTTGCCATCACCGTGACCTTGTCCCTGATGATGACCCACCCACTGCCCTGACCTGATAGTACCGTGAGGTCCTCAGTTCCAAAACCATTTGCTTCTACCCCAGCACTCACTCCCACGGCCGCACCTTTGACCTGGTCGCACCCAGGCCCCTTCGCCACTGACATCTTCAATTCTGAGATTTCGACTTCCTGACGCCCTCCTGTCCTTTGGGCTTGCTCACCCCATTACTCGACACCATCAGCTTTTCTACTCCGTTGGCATCTCCAGTTCCTCAGTCCTCCCCTTTTCTTCTGGATCTGTCAGTTGCCTCTTGGTTGTATCTATTTCCCTAAGAAGCCCAGGGGTGCCTGAGTGGCTCAGTTGGTTAGGCGTCTGACTTCTGCTCAGGTCATGATCTCGCGGTTTGCGGGTTCGAGCCCCGCATCGGGCTCTGTGCTGACAGCTCGGAGCCTGGAGCCTGCTTCGGATTCTGTGTCTCCCTCCCTCTCTCGGCTCCTCCCTCGCTTGCTCTCTGTCTCTCTCTCAAAGATAAACAAACATTAAAAAAATTAAAAAAATTACTTAAGAAGGCCAGGCCCCACGTGGGAAGAGGTCAACTACCCTCCCAAACACCCCATCCGTTGTCATTGCTTGGCCTTCTCTAAAACTCAAAATCCCCGAGCAATCAAATTATCCTCTCCCTGCACTCACTGCCAGAGTATGGCTCTGGCAGAGGAGAAGCACACTGCAGTACAGATGAGGCCGCCACAGACCACCGTTCCCAAGCACAGCTCGGCTCATGAGCCATCATTCCGCTCCCTGCCCCGCGAGCTCCCCCCTCTGCCCTCCCCGCGGTGGACCTGGCTCCCCTCCTGCCAACACACAGATAATCCGGCGATCAGACAAGCACTTCCTCAATTTCACACCCTTTTACCTAGAAAATTACTGTCCTCACCACTCATCCCCTCTTCCTCTTCCAGGTCAAAAGAGGCGTCGTCTTCCTTTTCAAGGCTAACACATTCGACCCACCATCTCCTGGGACTTTGCTCCATTCATAATCTCCTCTCAAATCGTCTTCCACTTTTCCTTCTCTACTGGCTGCTTCTCCTGGGCACATGGGCTCAGTCCTCTCCATCTTAAGGCATCAGTCTGTCTCTGTCTGTCTCTCTTCCCTCCGCCTCTCTCTGTCACACACACCAGAATCCCCCCTCAACTCTACATCCACTGCCTGTTGTCAGGTAACACTTCCCCTCCTTTCCCTGCAGGAATATTCTCCTGGGAAGAGTCCTGACATCCTCTCCTCGCGTTTACTCCTAACCCCCCTGCACTTCTTTCCTGAAGTGGCAGCTGCAATGTCATTGAATTAAGGCTGCTCAGTCTTAGGCCATCATCCTAAGACCCTGGAGAGCATTTACTTTCTCTGCTTCCTGCGACTCTTGGTTTCTGTGACAGTATTCTTTCTTCCGAGCTCCTCTACCTGTGGCCGCTCCTTCTCAATCGCCACCTTTACTCAACTGGTGGGCCTTGACCAAACTTTTAAAATTCTCATTTTTCTTGTTCCACGCTGTCTATGTATCTCATCTATACCCATTGCCTTGACTACCAGCAATGGGCTGAAAATTCCCTAATCTGTACCTAAGACTTCTCTCCTAGCCCTGGTCCATTTTGTAACAGGTTGTCCAGCCAGGATGAAGTAAATGCAAACCCAAGCCCGTTGTCTTCCTAACCAAGCCTGTTCTGTATTTCTCACTTGGTGAATGGTACTACAATCCACCCACTTGCCCAGACTAGAACTCTGAACCGCCTCACACCATTCCCTCCTCCCTCCTCTCCTTATCCCACATTTACGGGTGGGTGAGTCTATGTTCCTAATGGTTCTCGGATCTGTTCTTTCCTGTCGGGTCATCATCTCTTCTTGCTATGCACCTTCTGGAACAAGTCAGGTTACTTCTCTAAAACAGGGTAATCATGACGCTCTCTTAACGTTTCTTACTACCTCTCACCACTTGGAAGACTATTCAATTTCTTAGCATGGCTCACAAGGCAGGTCTGTAAGAGTCGCCGGGCCCATGACCCGCCTTCTGCCCCTCTACCCAACAGGTCCCTTGCGGTCAGGCCAAACTCCTGGTGGTTTTCTCCCATCCTCCCTGCTTTTGCTCATGACTCATGGAAGACAGGGGGATCAGGATCTCCCTTGTTCCCTAACAAATCCCAACTCATCCTTTAAGCCCAGTGTAGACCCCCCCTGCTCCACAAAACCTCCTGGATCCCCCGGGGCAGTTAGCTGCCCCTCCTGTCTGTCCATTCCTGCAGTCTAAAGCATGTCACACTGCAATGGAACTGTTGGCTTGCCAGCTCCTTCTCCAAACTCTGAGCTCTTTGTAGGGAGGAAGTTGAATCTTATTCATCTCTTCGTCACCAGAGCCCGGCAAGGTATCTGGCTACAATAAACATTTAGCAAATGCTTGCAGAAGAAAGGAAAGAAGAAATTGGGATTTATTATAAAGCACACCCCAATCTGGGGAATAAAATTGTTTTCTAAACTTTACTAGTAAAAATCCACACATAAAGGCTGAGATTAGGCACCTGAATCACCACCTACTCCCCTAAGAATAAGCAAATCCGCAAATCCTTCCCTTCCTTCTCAGGCTCTCACCTGCCATAGCTTCACCTCCTCTCTGTGGCCTAGAAGCCACTCCCATAGTTCACCACTTCAGCCATTCTCCTGCCAAACCCTCCATACTCTCGCCTCCTTATCTTTCTGCCACGGCTTCCCAGCACCACTCAACCGTAGGCCAATCCAACCGTCTGCCTTCCCTGCTTTCACAGCCAGTCTGGGAGTGGTGCTGGAGTAAAACCACACACAACTGTGGACTGGAGTCAGCCAGAGTCAAGTCTGTGACCTCAGTTGACCGTTCGACATTATCACGCAATATTTCATGCTGTCCTCTGTTCCTGTTCTCCAAACCTTGGGCATATTCTCAAGCCTCGTTGCCTCTCCACCCACCCCACTCTCTGCAGAAAACCCTACCTCCTACCTCCCTGTAGAAGCTGAGGACGTCAGATGGGAACGTCTTTAACTTTCCACGCCCCCACCTCCTAGCTTCACATGACTTTCCCGTGTAGCTCAGGAGTACCCCTTCCCTATGCAGGCTAACAGCACCTCTGCATCGGACTTCTCCTGTCTCCACAGAAATGAGACTCACGGCTGTCCCCTTCCTCCTGAACCCATCTACTGGGCCACGCCCCTCCTCCTCGCACATCTCAAAACAAAACAAGATGGACCAAGCAGACCTCCTGCCATCTGGCATATCTTCTGGCTTCTGTCCCCTACCCCTCATTCCCCCTAACAGTGAAGTTTCTTTACAGATACGTACATTTTAATATTTCAAACACTTCAGAAAAGTAGAGAATAAATCACCACTTTGTTGGTTTCTAACAAAACGTGACAAGGACAGCTGAAACTCCCTTTGAGCCCCTCCTCAATCTCATTACCTTTCTTCCTTCCTAGAGGCAACTGCTGACCCAAAACCAGTCAGCTTGGCAGCGGTTACATGCTTGTACTACAAATATACCTATACATATGCCATATCACTTTCATGTCCGTTTTACGTAAGCAATAGCACGTTTTTCATATTCTGCAACTTGCTTCTTACCCAACATTACATTTTCGAGATTTATCCTCGTTAATACACACAGCTCTCATGCAATTTAATTTTTGGAGAGCACTCTATTATATGACTGTACTACCCCTTACTGTCCAGTTTCTTAGAAGACTAGTTTCTACTCTTCATCGTCTGTCTGCCCTCCCATCTCCTCTTTAGCTCTCTCCTGCTCGCCTTCTGCCCCCATCCCACCACCTGTCAGGTTCTCCAGTGGTACGCCCCATGGACGCTTTCAGCCCTTATCTTACTGGACCTCTGTGCCACATTCTTGTCTGGATTACTTCTTCCTCCTGAGGCTCTCCTTCCTTTCTGAGCTCTCAATTGGCATCTCCTCCAAGCATGATTCCTCTTTTGCCGTCCCCCTAGATCAGTGGTTCTCAATAGGTGGAGGAGGGGGCAATTTTGTGCCCCAGGGAACATTTAACAATGTCTGGAGACGCTGGTTGTCATAGGGCAGGTATTACTGACATCTAATGGGTATAGGCTGGGGATGCTGCTTAACATCCTACAGTGACAAGACAGTCCCAAACCACAAAGAACTATCTGGCTCCAAATGCTAACAGTGCCAAGGTTGAGAACCCCCAGTCTAGAGATTGATCTTCTATAAGGTTCCGGTCTGACCCCTCTTCCCTTCCTGTGCTCTTGCATCACCTCACTTGCTCTTTGGAGACTGTTGAAACAGCTGGACAGGCTAGCATATTTCCTAGGATTCCTACCTGACAGCTTGCCTTGGGGGCTAGACTTACCCGGACGCTGGGCCGCTCTGGGGGGACCTCGGACACCATGTTGTGGTTCGATGTGTCGCTGTTGGTGATAGCCGGGCGTTTTCCACCTGCTTTATTGGACATGTCCAAGGCCGATCTGATTTCAGGTTGATGAAAACAGAAGAAAGGGACTGGTCAGAACCCAGAAAGAATGGAAGGGCCCTAGCTGTATTCCCTACCCTGCCACCCACTGTTCCAGCATCAGCACAAAATCACATCCCCTAAGCGCTATCAAGAGGTCACCTCAGCTGCTCCTGCCGCTCTTCTGAGACCACATGCCAGTAATCGTGGTTGGGCATTTTCCTCTTTCTTTCCTGTAAACTTATTTTAAAAACCTATGGGGCGCCTGGGTGGCGCAGTCGGTTAAGCGTCCGACTTCAGCCAGGTCACGATCTCGCGGTCCGTGAGTTCCAGCCCCCCGTCGGGCTCTGGGCTGATGGCTCAGAGCCTGGAGCCTGTTTCTGATTCTGTGTCTCCCTCTCTCTCTGCTCCTCCCCCATTCATGCTCTGTCTCTCTCTGTCCCAAAAATAAATAAACGTTGAAAAAAAAAAATTAAAAAAAAAAAAACAAAAAACCCTAGACCTTAGAACTCTGGAACTCCTTTTCCTTCTAACTGAAGAGACACAATGCCTCAGTGGATATGAGAGTCATTTAATGATCTTTCTTTTCCTTCCATTCACTGAGCCGAGATCCACAGAGGAAGCCAAGAGGAATTCACATTTGGCTCTCAGGGGTATATCACCTTCCCTCAGCACCTCCCTCAAAGGCCCCTGGGTGATACGCCCACCTCAAAACTATCTCACTCCTCGAGCCTGAGATCTGGGAGACACTGGGAAAAGTGGGTGAGGTCAACAAGCTGGATGGCCCTTAGAAGCTTCCATTCCTCAGGACTGAGGTGAGAGACCCTAACTCCCTCTGCTCTCCACACCCCCTCTTTCCCCTTCCCAGCTGCAAAGTGGCAGTGGGGGCGGGGGTGGGGAAGGCTGGAAAGGTCAAGCAGCCAATGGGGGCAGACATACGTTTTCAAGTTAAATTTTTTGTTTTCTTCTGGGACCTGGCCAGTCACTGGGTGCAGAAATGTGTTCCGTCTTTCATTGTGGCTGTGGAGGCAAAAAAGAGAGAGGTTGTGATAAAGACGGAGAAGGCAGAGACACACGCTAAAGGAAGGGTGGGCCCCAGGCAGTGACAGGGCCCGGTGGCCCCATGGGAGATGGCGCCTCTGTCCTCTGTGGGGTCCAGGAGAGGCAGGCTGGGGGTCTGGGCTGCAGAAAAAGCAGCTGCAGTCAGGTGGGGGGTAGGGAGACACTTTTCACTAGTCAGTGCTAACTGCTTACACAGATCGCTGAGGCTGGAAATACGTCCCACTTAACCCCTTCAGTGGTGACCCTGGGCTTGTAGCTGAGTGTGGGGGGGGGGGCCGGCGGGAGTCTCCAACAGCCAAGGTTTCGTGTGTGGCAGGTTCTCTCCCAGGAACAGCTCCTGCCCGTGCCCCACATAAAAACTGCTCACTCATTATTGGCTGAAAGAATTCCCTTGTGACCTTGGACTCCTTTCTCTCCTGTTTTATGTTGCATCTCTTGCTTTATGTGAAACCAGAGATCCAGAAACTCCATTCCTGAGCTCGGGCTGGGACCCACTCACGCTTCCAGTTCAGGGTCCCTGCATCTAAGGGGCCACTTGATGTACTGAGGCCCCAGGGACCGACCGTCAGGCATCGAGGTGAGTGCCGGCTCCACAGTCACATCTAATTAAGGGATGCTGGGGCCTGGGGTGGGCTGGGGTGCTGGGAGGACAGGCTGCTAGGAAACGGGGTCTGTGCAGAAGCAGATGGGGAGCAGGGCCGTGGAGGCTCCTTGGGGAAGTCCTGCTGTGGCTCTCTGGCTGGCTGAATGTCAGCCTAGTTTCCTGGTGGCTTCTGGGGGAGACAGACAGTCTGTGAAAAGGGTAGCAGATAGACCTTAGAGGGGGGCTGGTGCTGTGGGTCTAAGCCACCAATGGCAGCCACTGAATGTGGCTTCTGAGAAGAGGGGATCACTTGGCAAGAACATTGTAGGATCCAAGCATCTAGCCAGTGGGGGACTGGGTGAGTTTTAAGGTCTTCACTCATCCCTCGTGACAGATGCTGTGAGAGTCCAGAACAGTCTCAGTTCGCCCCAAGAAGCAGGCACCTGGACAGTGCCTGCTGAAGCCATGCCAAGCTTGGGGCTTGGGGGGGGGGGGTCCTGACACCAGGCCACTTGAGCACTCTGACAGTGACCAGCCAGGGCTGCCTGGCATGCGGCACCCCAGCCGGCCCCCGAGGAAAGAGAGCCTAGCTTGGTCCCTTCCCCTCCACGTGAGAAGTAACCTTATGGAGACCTGTCTTCAATAGTCCGGGAATCTCAGCCCCTGGGCTGTCTGCTGGAGTTAGAGATAATAACAAACGGTGGGTTTTTTTTTCAGCTCCCAAACCAGCCATGTTCAGATAGAATCCAAAGCCCTGTGCAGAGAAGCCCGGTGAGCAGTGGCCACAGTCTATGTGGAAATCTAGGGTTTTGCAGCTTGGGCTTGCCGGCCAGGACCCTAAATCTGGCCAGTGTCCACCAGGACTTGGTTCCAACTCCAGCATATTGCTCACCTGCTCTCCACGTCTCAAACTTTATTCCCTCCTCCCTCCAACAGGGATGCTCTCCTCAACTGCAGGGCATCGTTGCAAGGAAGGGTAACTGGTTCCAGTCCCCCCTGCCCCCCCGCCTCTCCCCCATCGGGAGGCGAGCAGTTTGTGAAAATAAGGTCCTCGAGGTGCCAAGATCTCTGCTTTTCCCCGGTGGCACAGAGCGCCTGCTCCCCACCTCCCACGTCCAGCCCGCGACATGTTCCCTGTGCTAACTGCCGGAACCTTCCCCACACACACTGGTATAGACAGACAGACAGACAGACAGACACACACACACACATACACACACACACACACACACACACACACACACACACACAGAAGCACACACAGTCTGCTGTCAGCCGGCACACGTCTCTCAAGGGACAGCGAATTGCTCCCTGCCCCAGACTCTCCTACCCAGCAACCCCTACAAATGACGTCCTCTCTCCATCCCGGCGCTACCAATTTCAAAATAGCTTCCCCTTCACAAGCACTGCAATGCAGCAGCCATTGACCTAACTCCTCTTCCTTCTCCAGGTCAGGTCTGGCAGGGCCCTCGCTCAGAAGCCCCCAACCCAGCGAGCCGCCCATCAGCCCGCTCACGGAACTCGGCTCACCGGCCACTGAAGAAATCCCTACCTGACCCGCCGATCAGCCCGAAACTTCAACATCCTTTTGGCAGCTCTCTCCCCTGTTCGGCAGCCTCAGAGGACCTGCCAGCCACCCTGCTCCTACCATCCCTCTGAGAAGTAAGTCCTCCGGGTCCCGGTGGCCAGCTCGGAGCGCGAGGCAGGCGCGGCTGGCTCCCCCTCCTCCCGGCTCCGGCACCAGGCGAGGGGGAGGGGCTCTCCCCGGGTGGTGGCAGGGGGTGCCCAGGTGCCCTGGGGGGCCCGTGGCTTCCTAGCATCCAGCCCGAATGCTGCCGTCTGAGTGCTAGAGGCAGATTAAATGAGCAGGGATGATATCCTCCCGGTCCAGGTCCCCGAGGAGAAAACGCTGAAACAGAGGCGGGCGGGAGCCGAGCAGGTGTACAAGTTCCAGGTAGTCCGACCTCCCTGAGCTAAGGACACAGAGTGGCCGGGCGGGCGGAGCCGTCTGGGGCCGCGCTCCCATCTGCGCGGCCTGCAGGAAGACGGTCTTTCCTGCCTCCCGACCCCCAGCCCCGAACGCAGGCCCTTGGGCTGAAATCCACGTGCTCCGCAGAGACCCTTCTGATCCCGCGGGCACGAGGGTTAAAAGAAGCTCCAGGCTCGGCTGCTGCCACTGCCTAGAAGCTGAGATTAAGTTTCCCAGACTTCGGCGCAGACAGGGCACAGCGAGGGGGGCTTCTGCGCAGCAACCCCCCCCCCCCAAACGTGCTCTCTTAGGACCTAGCCCCTCCTGGCTTGCCCTCCGCTTGGGGTCCAGCTGAGGGGCACGGGGAGCCAGAGCTGGTGGCAAGCACCTGGCTTCTTTGCTCTGGTGAACTGGAAGGAAAGCTTCCTCCCAAAGCTTGTGAGGAAGAGGGCAGCAAACAGGGCTCAGAGGGGGTCACCGTGTGTTTACTTCTGAAAATCTTCCCAGATGCCATATGATAAATCCCAGCTGGCGACCGTCGCATCTGCTCAGGGGCAAAGGAGGTTTGCATCGCCTTGAAGTTCCCTGAACTCTCCGGGGGCTGAAGACGATCAGATCTCCCCTTTCCCTCATGCCCTCGGTGTCTGAGGGTCCTGGGACTGCAAGGGCCTTCTGAAGGTCATCTCTTCCAACCCCCTGCCTCCAGGCAAGCTCACTCTGCAATCAATCTCATTAAGTGCCCTGGCTGTTCACAAAGGGCTCCAGCAAGGGAGGCTCCAGACCCGCTGTCAGCTTATGCTGCCAACTTGTTCTTTCTTGATATCAAATTTCAGTTCCTCTGGCTTTCCATATTATTCCATTTCTGCCTTCGGATGACAGAATCCCTTCTGAGCAGCGTGGTCCTTTATCGCAGCACCAGGCAGTCCATTGACATCATAGTCTGTTGTTACGGCAATTCTGTGATGTCACAACAGACCCTGAAAGGGGAGGGCGGGTCTAATTTTTCAGATCGAGGTCACAACTCAGAGAACCGTGCAACCAGTGAATGCAAAAGCGAGCAGACAACATTATTATTTAACTGCGACAAGACAAGCCGGCTGGCTAGAGCTGGGGTCAACAGCTACCGATATTGAGGCAACTAATCCTAAAGCCAAACGGTCAATATATTCAACCATTTAGCGGTACTTTTGCAAATGGTGACAAGAGCCTTCGGGTGCCAGATCCCACCTCTCTCTGGCCCAGCCTAATTATTTGAGCCCTGCTATGGTTGCGGGAATCTGGGCCCTCCTCTGGTGCCAGCTTGAGGTCTCTGCCTGTGCACAGTAGGCGCCTAATAAATATTTGTTGAACCAACAAGTGAATGAATGAACGAACAAAAGAAACCCTCCGTGCTCCAACTTAATTTTTAGCCACCTGCATTTGAAGTTTGACATTCTATTACCAAGGGCCTCCCTACCTTTGCTCTCTCTTAAAATTAATTACTTCCTCTCCATGAGAGAAGCTCTGTCTCTGCCCCCTCGCCCCTTCACTCAGCTCCCCTGCCTGGCTCCCCCTCGAATATATAGCTTGGCTTTGATCCGTCTTCATTAGGAGGGGAAGAAAATTAAGCTCATCTGTACAGGAGGAGGGAGTGGAGGTGCATTGGGAAAATGAGTTTTCTTCCTCTAGAAGGCAAAAAATATCCCCTTTCTCTTCAAGCTGAGCTCAGGAACCTCCCACAGGCTTTGCTTAAGTTGTAAGCTAAATTACTTCTCCCATGCCCAGTGAAGCTAGCACAAGGGAGTAGGAATGTAGGCTCAGGGGCTTTCCCTGCTTGTCGAGGGCTCTGAAATCCTCAGGGTTCAGGCACACAGAATGCCTAGCTGGGGTTCTTTTCCTTCACCACTAAACTGCACAGAATGACAGGTTGTCATTTTAGGGTAGACATCAAGAAGAACTTACCAGGTGCAGGATATTTTAAAAGGGAAACAAGAATAGGGGATTCATTTTTTCTCTCTTCTTTCCTCTTTTTTTTTTTTTTTTTTTTTTGGTGGGGGGGATGTCAAAGGCCTCCATTTCTCAGGAACAAATAGTTATGAGCACATCTCCAAATGGACCTCCTGATTCCCCCCCCCCCCTAAAAAGGGGGAGAATCTCAAGCAGTCAAGCAGATTTTGTGATGGAGGCAGGAACATCCCTAAACTCCTGGATCTCCCACTGGGTGGCCACCTTATCCACTGTGCCTACAAACGTGGCCCCAATGGCAGTGCCACCAGTGAAAAGAGAATTGGGCAACACCAGGCTTACAGTCCAAGATCCAGCGGGAATTAGCAATGTGACCTGACTTCTCTGGTTATTCGTTTCCTCGTGTGCAAATGAGGTACCTTCTAATTCTATGAAATAATAGCTGGAACTTGCAAACTGTGAAATGTTTTATGCATAAGAGATAATGGCGATGATTAATTTGCTTAAAAACAAATCAAGAAACATGCCAGGTGCCGGAGCTAGAAAAGGAAAAACACACCATTCAGGTTTAAGAAGGCTACGTGCATGGGGCGGGGGCTGGCTTTCCAGAAGTGCCAATACCAGTAAATTACAACAAGCAGAGGCCGGGCATCCGCCTCTCCTTCCTAGTTAGGGCTTTCCTACTTCCTGAGGCGCCCTCAGTCTCCAGGTCCTGGTGACAGCCTCACTACAAAGATAACCCAGTACTGATCTGTCTCCAAACATCCTCCCCAAGCATCGGCATCTGTCTAGAGGGCTACTGGCACTACACGGTCAAAGGCAGCAAATTCAACCCCAGTCTCCGCGACCCTTTGTAGGCATGCATGGTTGCACGTGTGCACGCACACGCGCGCGCGCACACACACACACATACACACACACACAGGTTGGACGCCCAGAGCTCCCACCGTGATAAATATTGAACAACTAGAAAAATACACTCAACGCCTTCCACCCTCTGGGCCCCTCCTGGTTATCTGCCCTACACCAAGCTGCCTCATTTCCATAGCTCCCGAGAATCTGCTGACAGAGAATTAGCCCTGGCTAGGCTTCCCCATCCAGAGAGCACTTTGGCTTCTGGCATCACAGCTCATTATATGGAGAGAGGACATGGGGTGAGCAGGGGGAGGGGGGGGAAGCAGAGGGGGGGGGG